AATTGCTAATCAATGGGTATAAAGTTTTAGGCAAGTAAGGTGAGTAAATTCTAGAGATCTGTTGTACGATGTTGTACCTGTAGATCAGCGGTCCCCGACCTTTTTGGCATCAGGGACTGGTTTCATGGAAGATAATTTTTCCACAGATGTGGGACAGGGATGGTTTTGGGATGATTCAAGCACATAACATTTATTGTGTACTTTATTTCTATTATGTTTACATTGTAATATATAATGAAATATACAGCTCATCATTTTTTTTTAAAAACTAGACTCAGATGGAAGTGGGCAGGCCACTGCTGATTGACAGGAGGTGGAGCTCACCCGCTGCTCACTTCCTGCTGTGCGGCCCAGTTCATAACAGGCCCAGTTCCTAACAGACTATCAGTCAGTGGCCTCCCTGCTGTAGATAACAATACTGTATTGTACACCAGGTCGAGGCTGCACTCCAGCCTGGGCGATAGAGTGAGACTCCAATTCAAGAAAAAAAAAATCTGTCAAGAGGATAGATCTCATGTCAAGTGTTCTTACTGCTATAAAATTTTTTAAAAAATAAGGACAGTATGATAGGCTTTCCATAAAGCTAAAGTTGTTCTGAATTTGTACCCTTTGTAGTTTTTGCTGTCTGAAATTCTAAGAAACACAAGTATTAGGCAATGATTTTTCTTTTTTTCTGTAAACACCATTACTTAGCAAAATAAATAGAAATATCCTGAAATAGAAAAAGTCATCTTCTCTTCAGAAAGGCATGCACTTTTGGTATTAGCTGGCAGGATACAGTGTGGCCCAGAGACTAAGAGGGTGGGCTAAGAGGAGCCGAGTGTACCAGGCACCTACTTGACTCTGCCTCTTACTAGCCTTGAAATCTTGGGAATTTACTACAGTGCCCTGGACACTAACTGGGCATGTACTTCTTGGGACTGTTTTGAGGACTAAATAAGGTTATCCATGTGAGGAACACATAAATGGACGGACTCTAGCACATGATAGTCATCAACCACAGCTCATGTGACACTGCACATTTTCGCTTCTGCCTGAGAAGATAATGTCTCCTGATAGAAAATGGAACCATACCCCATAGTCAGGAGTCCTTATATAATAGTTTTAGTTTTCTGTTGCTACCGAAACAAATGACTGCAAATATACAGGCTGAAAGTAATACAAATTTATTATCTTAACTCAGCAGGTCAGAAGTCCAATACTAAATCAAGGTGTCAGCAGGGTTGCATTCCTTTCTGGAGGCTTTATGGGAGAATTTCTTTCCTGCTCATTTAGATTGTTGACAGAATTGAGTTCCTTGAGGTTGTAGGACCAAGGTCTGTTTTGCAGGTTGTCAGCCGAGGGCCGTTCCCAGCTTCCTTCCTCTGTTTTCAGAGCAAATCTGAGCAAGTCATTTTCAACTTTCCTCTCCCTGACCCCTTCTTCTACCTCCCTCTTAGACTATAAGCACTCGTGATTTGATTGGGCCCACCCAGATACTCCAGAAAAATCTTGCTAGTTTAGGGCAGTTGATTAGCAAACTTAATTCCATTGTGACTTCAATTTCCCTTTGCCATGTAAGGCAGCATAATCATAGGTTCTAGAATTAGGACTCATACATCTTTGGGGGCTGGGGAACATTATTCTGCCTACCCCATCCAGTGAGCTAGAATTTTGTTGGGGTCTTTAGCAGGTAATTTATTGAGCACTTCCTATGAGCTTGGCCCCACACACAAAGCTCTAGGAAGAGTCTTTGAGGCAGTTTCTATTATTATCCCCATTTTGCAAGTGAGGAAACTGCATTTTGGAGAAGTCAAGTAATTGCTGAAAATAATTCAACTGGTGAGGGACTCAGACATTTCAGTAGGCTGCTGTACCTCAAAGGTTTAGCTGGTAATCTCCCTTCACGTGGCAGTTCATACTAATTGGAAGTCAGTGTTTTGATTTTTTAAAAAATGTTTCAATTTTGCTAACAGAAGTTATTATTCATGGCCAGGCACTGTGGCTCATGCCTGTAATCCCAGCACTTTGGGAGGTGGTGGTGAGAGGATTGCATAAGCCCAGGGTTTCCAGACCAGCCTGGGCAACATGATGAGACCTCATCTCTACAATTTAAAAAAATTAACTGATATAGTGGCATGTGCCTATAGTTCCGGCAACTTGGAAGGCTGAGGTGGAAGAATCACCTGAGCCCAGCAGGTTGAGGTGTGAGGTTGGTGGCTGTGATGGGTGCCACTGCATTCCAACCTGGGTGACAGTGAGTCTCTGACTCAAAAAAAGAAAAGAAAGACAAAAAAAAAAAGAAATTGTCATTCATAGTCATGGACGTAGTAAGAAAATAAATTTAAAAAGTGAAACTAGATATGTATTAAAATCAGATTAAAAGGAGAATGAGGTATAAAATATTTTAAGTAAAACTGTCTGAAAATGGAAAAAAAAAGATTTCTGGCTTGTGCTCAGTCGTGAACTGCCTTTTGAAGTCAGAATGTTGTTTTCTCTGAGTTCATGGCGTTTGTTCTCTGCCAAAAGAAGTCTGATTTGTAATAGGGTGGGTTGATGGTCTCAGTATTTTTCTAGTGAGATACTGGACTGTCATATTTTGTTATACTATAAGTGATATGTAACCAAACAAGAAAATTATCCTAGCAACAAAATTGTTTTTCTTCAATCAGAAGGTTTTTGTGTGCTCATTTTCTTATTGTCTAAATGATTTAAAAGTTTATGAATTTAGCATCTTATTTTTTGAGATTGAGGTACTGGTGATTATGGATAGTAGAATATATGAGAATATCATGGCTGGGCATGGTGGCTCATGCCCATAATTCCAACACTTTGGGAGGCCTAGGCAAGAGGACTGCTTGAGCCCAGGAGTTTGAGACCAGCCCGAGCAACATAGCAAGACATCAAAAGAAAGAAAAAAAAAAGTTGGCTGAGCATGGTGACACACACCTTTAATCCCAGCTACTCGGGAGGCTGAGCCAGAAGGATCACCTGAACCCAGGAGGTCAAGGCTGCAGTGGGCCATGATCATACTACTGCACTCTAGCCTGGGTGACAGAGTGAGATCCCAACTCAAAAAATGTGTATGTGTCAAATATGAGTATTTGAAAAGCATTTGTGTTAATTCAGACCTGAAATATATTTAATTAGGTACAGAACCACTTTGTTTTTATGCCAGATCCAATTATTGGGCGTGGTTCTCTCACTCGCCCTCATAAACCACTTTTACTTCATTTAATTTTGTTTCAATAACTTTAGGGGTATAAGTGGCTTTTTGTTACATGGATGAATTGTATAGTGGATAAACCTCTTTTTCTCTCTTCTTGTTCTTCATTAATCACACACCCAAACCTTTTTTGGACACTCGTCAGATCTCTAGGTTCTATGCCACTCCATATGTTTATAGTGAATACTTGAATACTATGTGCTAGGAGGCCCTAGTGATAGTGTGCCCTCATGAAGCTTACAGAGTAAGGAAGAATTCAGACAGGAAAAGTCATTATACAAATCAGGAAGTACATGGGTGCCATGAAAGTGAACAAAAGGATGTAACCTAAATTGATGGGCTGCGTACAACGAAAACTTTGATCTAAAGGATGAATAATATTTATTTAGCAAAAATCAGGATTGACCAGTCTTGGTCAAGCTGTGCCTTTTGCAAAAGTCTTGTCACAGTAAGAAGTTTGGCAAGTTCAAGCAACAGCAAAAAGGCCTTTGGAGCTGTGTTGTAGTGTGTGTGTGTGTGTGTGTGTGTGTGTGTGTGTGTGTGTGTGTGTGTGTATGTGTGTTCACTCGTGTATGCATGTTTGGGGGCAGGGGTTAGGGGTGGCTCTGGGGGAGGAGAATAAGGGCACAGGTGCTGAGTCCTGCAGTGCTCTGTTCAGTGTGTCAAATAGACCTGAGTATCGTTTGTTGATCCACCAAGCAATGCATATGGGCTTGTTCCTCAAGACTACAACATCAAGTGGATGTGGTGACCTAATAATTTATCGTCCAAACCAGGATAGCTTTGAGAGTGAAATGGGACACTGTTAATTATGCTGGGACAATGGGTATAAAGCAATACTTATAAACTGGTTCTCAACCATTCCAGTGAACCTCAAAGTTGCCTAGAAACCACAGCATTAGTCACTTGCTCCTGCTTTCTCACCTTTTTACCTTCTTTCACCCATGAATAACTCGGAGAGAGGGCCACCAGAAGAACCCGGGGCAAGTCTAGACCACAGAATCATAGCCCTGTTGCCCGCCCAGCTGTAACCTAGTGTTTTTCAGGCTGCCATCTCATGAGAGCTTGAAGCTCTGGCATAAAGCAGGTCTTATGAACATGTTTTCAGAACTACAGTATTAAAAACCTGTAGAAAGAAAGGCCTTAACATGAACTTTTCCCACTAGAAACTTTCCTACACCACTTCTCATGGATGACATGACCTAATTACATGTTCCCGGATGGTGGCCAGGCAGAATGGGTGTGGTCTGATTCTAACTTCTTTCAGAGTAAACATGTTTTGTAGATTGTCCCTACAGTAGATAATGGTGGCTAATGCATGGAATGGAATACCTACAAGAAGTCTTCTTATAGGTGGAAAGCCTTCTTTAACAGTGACAGCAGCATGAAGTAGTATACCTTCCTCTTTCAGGAAATAAGAAATCTTTTCACTATTGTTTTGATTTTTTAAAATAGAATCAACTGTTTGGCCCAATCTGTGTAATGAGGATTAATGGAACTTTATTTCCTGCTCTCTGTGCCCAGGTCACTCTCTACAGCAGGGCCCTCAGGGAGCCCTAGGAATTTCTTTGGTTTACTGAGAAATGGATCACTTTGCAGTATAATAATATTTAATGGTTGGCACCTGCAAGAACATAGGATCTTATTTCTTCAACAACCCCTCAGTAAAATGCCTTGGCTCCCACACAAAAATAATAATATTTAATGTTTGTATTCAGCCAAATGCTAAAGACACTTTGAGGAGTTTCACTATTTCTTTTCCAACTGCATTAAACTCTTATTTTTGTTTTACAAGGCAGGAAATGTGAAGAATTCACCCGGAAATAAGTAGAAAACTCTATGCTCTGCCCATTTTCATCAGGTAAAGAACAAGAAAACTCTGGTTATTTTCAGCATTATAGAGCCAGCTGAAATGACTTCTCTTTATTAATTTAATAAAATTAATCATAGTATTTTCAACTTGAGTTGGAAACATGCAGAAGGGTCATATTTTATTCCATCTTTAATTTCTAGGCTAAAGTGCCATGACTTATTTAATTTTGTTTGTTCCAACAATGTATCTGAGTTTTTTTAGACAAGCTAGAACCAGACAGTAGGGATTTGTCTACAAATCTATTTTCAAACAATTGAAAAGTGCTGTTGTTTCTTAGGTTTATTTTTTGTTCAGACAACACTTTACTAGTAAGCACATTTTATTCATCTAGTACTCAATAAACACTTGTTGAATACATGACTGTTTCCGAGAAGCTCATGATTATGTAGGGATATTACCTTAAATGACAGGGACTTTCTTATTTAGTTATTGTTAGGTATAATTATTCCTTCTTTAAAGATTGAATAATCTGAGGTTACAGACATTTAGGATATCAGAAGAAGTCAGAAAATCAGTGAGATTTCTTCTGGTCTTATACTCAATTCACCATTTTCACTTGTCCAATATTTACTCACGGAGTGCTTGCTAAGCACAAAAACATGAGTTGTTTTGTGTCTGTATTAAAAATTGCATAGTAACACTTGGGATTTCTTGGTAATTAGAATATTGTATTGAATTTGGAAACAACCTAAATATGCAACTACAGGAAAATGGTTTAATTATGGTATATCCATAAATGGGAATATTATTCTGTTTCAGCAGTATTTAATTGCATGGGAGTATGTGCACAATTATTGTTAAATGGGAAATAAAAGGTGGTATCACATTTTTTAGAGGGGAAAAGATTGGGAGATACAACAGAAAATGTAAGTGTATATGTTTTGGTAGTAGCATGATTTTTACAGTTTTCTTCTTTATAACTTTCTGTATTTTTAAAAATTTCTGCAATGAATATGAGTTTTTTTATCATCACAATTTTTTAAAGCATTAGTGTTACATTTATTATAAGTCATGTTTAAAATTTATGAAAACTCTGGCTTTGAAGTTTTCTTTTTCAACCTTTCTTCACATTTTTGGAGACCCAGAGAGTCATATAAACTTAGAATTTGAGAGCGGTTCTCTGGCCCAACTCTCAGTCTCAAGCCAACTACCCTGTAGCCCTGTGTGTTCCTCCTTTTACACCACCACAGATAGGAAACTTACCCCATGGGGTTAGCCATCTTTGGATAATTCTGGTTTTTAGGAAGCTATTTCTTCTACTAAGCGAAACTGTGTCTCCTTGTGACTCCTACACAGTAGTCACAGAAAACAAATACAGTTCCTCTTTTACATCACAGCTCTTCATGTAGTAACACAAAGCCAATAGTTTTCAGATACAAACAAATTAGCCAGGGAACTTGTGAAAAAGCAAAGGCCTAGGCCCCACCTGAGCATCAGCATCTCTGGAAAGTGGGTACAGATATGCATTTGATGTGCCATTAAAAGGAGGATTTAGAAGGTGAATAGTCAGTTTTTACATTGAATATGGTTGTATTTCTCCACAGAGACAATGAATGAGACATAGAATAAAGGGAAACTAGGTAAATATCCATTTCAGTTTTCAAAGTCATTTTAGACCAGAGTTCAGGTTGCTGTAATACAACTCTTTGATTTCATTCTTTATTTTTTTAGATCTTTATTGGAGGAGGTGTCATTTTTTATTTTTTTATTTTTAAAAAAATTTTTAGACATATTTTTTATTTTAAAATTGTGGGGTACAGTTAAGGGTTAGGTATACAAATATGTGTTGTGCAGGTACCCTTGTTGATGAGGTGTGCCACCCCATCCCCAGACAGATATTGACTACTGTTAATCCCACCTCCCTGCCCCACCATAGTTTCTTGTCACTGTCAATCCTTTTCTTATAGTATTACGATAGTTGTTCAAGGTCCACTTATGAGTGAGAACATGTGCTACTCAGATCTTTGTTTCTGTGAGAGATCACTCAGTATTATAAACTCTAATTCCATCCAGGTTGCTGCAAAATTCATGATTTTGTTATTTTTGATGGCTGCGTAATATTCCATTGTGTATATGTACCACATTTTTTTAATCCAGTCCTCTTTTGATGGACAGCATGGTTGGTTCCATGATCTTGCTATTGTGAACAATGCTGCGATAAACATATGTGTGCAGGTATCTTTTTTATAGAGTGATTTGAGTTCTTCAGGGTATATTCCCAGTAGGGGGATTGCGGTGTCATATGGAAGGTCGATTTTAAGAGCTTTTAGGAATCACCACACTACTTTCCACACAGGCTGCACTAGTTTACACTCCCACCAGCAGTATAGAAGCGTTCCCTTTTCTCCACATCCTCTCCAGCATTTGTTATTTTTTGAGTTATTGATAATTGCCACTCTGACTGGAGTTAAGTGGTATCTCAGTGTAGTTTTAATTTGCATTTCCTTGATGATTAGTGAGCTTGAACATTTCTTCATGTGTCTGTTGGCCACTCGTATATCTTCTTTTGAGAAGTGTCTGTTCATATCTTGCCCACTTTGTAATGGGGTTGTTTGTTGTTTTCTTTTCAGCACGTTTGAGTTCCTTGTAGATCCAAGATGTTAGGCCTTTGTCATACATGGGAGTTGGCAAATATTTTTTCCTAGTCTGTAGGCTGTCTCCCTGCTCTCTTGATGGTTTCTTTGGCTTTGCAGAAGCTTGTCAGTTTAATGAGGTCCCACTTGCCTATCTTATCTCTTACGGCCCGTGCGTTTCAGGTTTTGTTCAGGAATTGAATGCCAGTTCCAACTTCTATAAGGGTGTGTCCTGCATTTTCTAAAGTTCTTATTTCTTGAGGTTTTACATTTTGGTCTCTGATCCATTTAGAGTTAATTTTTGTGTATGGGGATAGATAGGGGTCTTGTTTGAATCTTCTGCATGTAGTCAACCAGTTTTCCCAGCACCATTTACTGAATAGGTTCTCCTCTCCCCAGTGGTGGGTGGTGGAGGCTTTGTCGAAGATGAGTTGGTTGAGAAATTGAGGTTTTGCTTCTGGAATCTCAATTCTATTCCATTGGTCTATATGCCTGTTCTTGTACCAATGCCAAGCTGTTTTGATTATTGTAGCTTTATAGTAAAGTTTAAAGTCTGGTATTGTGATACCGCCTGCTTTGTTTTTTTTGGCTGAGGATTGTTCTGTCTATTCTTGGTCATTTGTGTTTCCATATGAATCCCTGTATTATTTTTTCAAGATCTGAGAAGAATGTTGCTGATAATTTGATGGGTATTGCATTAAATCTGTAGATTGCCTTAGGTAAGATGAACATCTTCACAATGTTGATTCTTCCAATCCATGAGCATGGGATATTTTTCCACTTGTTTGTGTCATCTTTGATTTCTTTGAGCAGTGTTTTGTAATTTTCATTGTAAAGGTCTTTCACATCTCTGGTTAGGAAGTTGCCAAGGTAGTTAATTCTTTTTGTGTTTATTGTGAATGGAATTATGGTTTTTATTTGGGTTTCTGTTTGTTTATTATTGGTGTATAGAAATGTGATTGTTTTTTGCACATTTATTTTATACCCTGGGACTTTGCCGAAGTCCTTTATCAGTGCAAAGAGGCTTTTAATAGATTCTCTTGGGGTTTCAAGGTATACAGTCATGTCGTCTGCAAAGAGAGAGAGCTTGACTTCCTCTTTTCCTATTTGGATACTCCCCTGATTGGCTTCTCTTTTCTAATTGCTCTAGCCAGGACTTCCAATATTATATTGAACAGGAGGAGTGAGAGTGGGCATCCTTGTCTTGTTCCAGTTTTCAGGGGAAATGGTTCCAATTTTTGTCTGTTTAGGAGTATGCTGGCTGTGGGTTTCTCCAGATGGCTTTTACTGTTTTGAAGTATGTTGCACATATGCCTAGATGTTCGAGGGTTTTTATCAAGAAGGGGTGCCAGATTTTATCAAAAGCTTTTTCTGCATCTAATGATATAATCATGTGGTTTTTGCTTTGACGTCTGTTGATGTATTTAATTACATTTATGGTCTTGCAAATGTTGAACCAGCCTTGCATCCCAGGGATGAAGCCTACTTGGTCACGATGGATGATTTTTGAGTTGTGTTGTTGAATCCGGTTTGCTAGGATCTTGTTGAGAATTTTAGCATCTATGTTCATCCAAGATATTGGCCTGTACTTCTCTTTCTTTGTTGGATCTTTACCTGGCTTGGGTATCAATGTGATGTTAGCTTCGTAAAATGATTTGGGGAGGTTTCCATCTTTCTCAGTTGCCTGGAATACTTTCAGTAGGATTGATATCAGCTCCTCCTTAAATGTTTTATAGAATTCTGCTGGAAAGCCATCTGATCCAGGGCTTTTTTTTGTGGGTAGTTTTCTTATTACATAGTCAGTTTCTTTGATTGTTATTGGTCTATTTAGGGTCTCAATTTCTTCTTGTTTCAACCTAGGTAGGTTGTGTGATGTCAGAAAGTCCTCCATTTCCTTAAGGTTTTCAAATTTGTTTCCATACAAGTGTACATAGTAGTCTCTAATGATCTTTTGTATTTCTTCAGGGTCAGATGTGACTTCATCTTTTGTGTTTCTGATTGTGTTTATTTGGGTTTTTTCTCTCTTTTTCTTGGTCAGTCCAGTTAGGGGACCATTGATCTTGTTTATCCTTTCAAATAACCAGCTTTTTGTTTCATTGATTTTTTTGTATTATCTCTTTGTCTTCTATGTCCCAGATTTGGGCTTTTATTTTGGTGATCTGGATTCTTCTGCTGAAGTTAGGGTTTTTGTGGTCTTGCTTTTCCAGCTTCCTTAGGTGACTTGTTAGGCTGTTAATTTGTGATCCTTTCATTTTCTTCATGTGCATTTGTAGAGATATGAATTCTCCTCTTACTATAGCTTTCATGGTAGTAGAGATTTTGGTAAGATGTTTCTTCATTTTCATTTGTTTCCAGGTATCTTTTAATCTCTGTTTTGATTTCATCATTGACCCAGGAGTTGTTTAGCATCGTGCTATTTAGTGTCCATGTCTTTGTGGGTTTGGGAAGAACCTTGTTGGTGTTGATGTTTGTTTTTATTCCACTGTGGTCCGAGAAGGTGCATGGCAAAATTTCGATCTTTTCAAATTTGTTTATGCTTGATTTATGGCCAAGTATGTGGTCGATTTTCGAGCACGTTCCATGCAGTGATGAGTAGAATGTATATTCTGTGGTCATTGGATGGAGTGTTCTGTAGGTATCAATTAAGTCCATTTGGGCAAGAGTCACATTCTACAGGGATTGAAGTGAGGGGAAAAATATAATTTTTCATGTTCTGGTTATGACTGAATATATCCATTAACTGTTATCCTGTTTATCTCTTGTTTCCCATAAACTAATAGTTGGATCTGAAGACTTATTCAGACTTAGGTTCAATTTTTTGTTAAGAGTACTTCATAGACAGTATTATGTTTAGTTATGCTGAATAAATGAATTACCTTGCTTTTTGCACTTAACATATTGTTTACGTCTTTCCCTGTCAGTACTTATTGATCTACTTCATTCCTTCTTTAGTTGTTTAATTATTCCTAGTATGGACTGTGATGATCTATTTAATCCTTATTAACATAAATTGTCTTCAGTTTTTAACAATTTATCAATTCTTAGAGAAGCCAAAAACAGATTAATAAACTGAGATAGAAAGATAACCTAGTGACTTACATATTTAATTTAAAAATTTTGGTTTATATTAAAAGATCAAATGAGTAGTCACTGGCCTCTGAAATATTTAGAAACCTCTAATTGCTAAATATATTTATTAAAAATTAGGAAAAACACAATTCAGAGAAGACTCACTTTGTCCTTGGTGTGTCTTTGAATTTATATGTGTTTCATTCCAGTAAAGAATGATGAGGGTGAATGTGAGGAATTATATACGTCAGACTGAGGGTGATAAAATCTTGCTCTCCAGCATATAAATGAAAATGTAGTTGTTTGCTCTTCAGAAGGGGAGAGATTTGGTGTGTGCTGTGCCATTTAGGCATTTATTTTTGATTTACTCATCCATCCATGTATGTAATTATGCTCAGATACACAGCTAGTTGAGAATCTGAATATATTGATGGAACACAAAACCTTTCTGACTCTGTTTAATTATCTGTAAAGTGGGAATAATTACACTTCCCTCTGACTCATGATTCTTATGATCATATAGCAGTAATGTAAATATTTTTATGGTCTATTTAAATGTAGAGAATTTTTATAATGCAAAATTTTTGAGTTGTTTTTATTTTTTCTAGCACAGTTTACTTATTTTTTTCCTTTAGTTATAGGTAAACATTGGAAACGCCATACAGTAAATCCGTATTTCTACAGAAAAATGGCAGAGAAGTCAGCATTGAATGTATTAAACTGACTTTCTTCTTCAGAATAAACTATACTCGGCCTCTGTTCTCTTGGGCGATGCCATCCTACAAGCAAACTAATCTGAAATCCTTTCACCTAGAGATAATGTACAAGCCTTAGAACTCTTTGTTCTCATGTTGCTATTTATGTACATAATTAAAATCCAAGTTTAAAAAAACTTGTCTAATATCATTGAGTGACAGTTTGAGTGTATCTGATGTCTGTGTGTGTGTGTGAGTGATTTGTGTGTATGGTGTGGGTTTCTGTGTGCATGTGTATGTGTGTGTGGGGTGCATGATGTGTGTGTGTTAAAGACAATCGTTAACTTTTCTTAGGGCACCACCAGCTGGCAATCTGCAGAGTTTGGGCCCCGCAACAGAGTAAAGAAGAGTAGCTCTGGAGCTCAGAGATAGTGCTTCAACAACCAGCACAAGGAACCAAACTTGTAATATAGTTTGCCTGACAATGATTGGAAGACATTGACTGGGCATGGTGGCTCATGCCTGTAATCCAAGTACTTTGGGAGGCAGAGGTGAGACGACTGCCTGAGACCAGGGGTTCGAGATCAGCCTGAGCAACTTGGCAAAACCTCATATCTACAATAAATAAAAAAATTAGCCAGACGTGGTAGTATGCCTGTAGTTCCAGCTAATTGGAAGGCTGAGGCAGAAGGATTGCCTGAGCCCAGCAGGTCGAGGCTGTGGTGGCTGTGAGAGTGCCACTGCACTCCGGCCTAGGTGACAGAGTGAGACTTCAACATTACCAAAAAACAAAAAAGACATACAAAAGAAAACAGTAACAGTGACCCCTTGTTGTAGCTGTTGCCTCCTAGTTTGTATAGGTCTTCTGGTTCTTGAATGCCAGTGGGAGAGTGTAGTGTATGTCCTCTGCTAGTGGATGAATGGGGGGGTGGTTGTATGTATGGGTTCTCTGTACGTATGGCTTGTATTCTCTTCCTTTATGGCCTCTGAATTGACAGCTCTTTGAACTCTATTCCCAGTACTGGTGGGATCAACAGGAGTCACTTTTGACTCGTCAGCCCACCAGGAAGGATGGCAGGGGAATGAACGTATGTCAAAGAGAATTGAGAATTTCACATTTCAGTCATATTTGGAAACCCTAAGTCTTCTTGTATCATCAGTTGAATTCCAAATTGTTGGCCTTCCAGAACTGATAGCAATTAGTAGGATAGCAATTTACAAGTGGACATGCACATATTTATGTTAAATACATTTAATAGAGCCAAAATGACAGGAATAGTGCCAGGACTGTTACCGGATTAATGAACTGAAGCAAATTTGTCCTTAGAATGATGCCCTAGTAACCCAGAAGCCTTTGATTTCCTTTTATGCTGAAGTACTTTTGTGTTACTATACCAATCATCCAAATATATTAAAGCTATACGTATATTTCATTATAAATATACTATTATTTCAGGCTTTCTCCATTTGGCTTGGCTTCCTACACTACCTCTGAAAATTAGAGATTCCATGAGTTTCTTCCTTTATATTGCCTGATCTAGAGAAGATTCAGAAGAAATGGTCTACACCTCACCATGCTCAGGAGATCATTAATCAATAGGTATTTGAGTGCCTCCTAACTATAAGGCATTACCTCTCATTTTTAACCCTTCAGTCATTATCAAAACCTTGCTTTAAAACGTCTTAACTCCTCTGTGGGGTGGTTGGGTTAAATGTCACAGAGCCAGCTCCTACTCCCAACTAGGATAGCTCAGTTGCCCCATAACTTCTTTTTGATTTATGGATGGTGGCCCAAAGATCTTTTCCTTTCTTGGTTTTTTATATCCAATGCTGTCTTCTTGTTATACTTAACACTTTTTTCATGTACACCCTGAACTGTAGGGAATGTCAAACATGCATATTTTAATATCTTGTATTTTACTAGTTCTTTATATTTTTCAAGTGCTATTTTATATCTTTTCTCCTTTGTCTTTTTCCTGACCTCAGTACATTTGTACTGTTTTTCTCCATCCCACGGTAATACTCTCTACTTATTTTATATTTTTTATCCTGACTTATGACCATTTCTCCTTATAATAAAACTATGAGCCTCTATTCAGCTTATCTAAAACTTAATCAACATAGTTCTATTTGAGTAACTTTAGGGACTTTGTGGGGGAACATTCTCTACTATACAGAATGATATAAACTCCTCTGAAGAAAGAAATTGTGGTGCACTGCCATGAACATGCCTGATCTCATCTGAAGAGAGAAATATGGTATGGAATGTAATAGTTAGACTCCTAAGGAAGATTGCTTTGTCAAAAATCAAGATTTAGGGCCGGGTATGGTGGCTCACGTCTGTAATTCCAGCACTTTGGGAGGACAAAGCAAGAGGATTGCTTGAGCCCAAGAATTCAAGACCAGCCTGGGCAACACAGCAAGACCTTGTCTCTACAAAAAAAAAAAAAAAAATTAGCTGGGCTTGATGGCATATGTCTATAGTCCCTGCTGCTAGGAGGCTGTGGCAGAAGGATCACCTGAGCCCAGGAGGGCAAGGCTGCAGTGAGCTGTGATCATGCCTCTGTACTCCAGCCTGGGCAGCAGAGTGAGACCCTGACTCCAAAAAAAAAAAAATCAATATTGAAAAGCAATTGCTTCAGATGGAAAAAAAGGGACTAAGGGCCCTAAAGCATGCCTAAACCAATAATATCACTTTTATCATCCCTTGGGACAAAATCAAAACAATAGTAGTATGTACTCAGAATAACCCAGGGTCCTGGAGTACAGGTCTCTGGGCCACTGGGTCAGCAGCTTTTGTCCTGAGTGCAATGCCGGATTCTACCCCATAGTGGCTTATATAATGCAAAGCACTTACCCTAGAGGATCAATGACATTATATGCAAGTAGCCTAAAGAAAATTCAAAATATAGGCAAAATGCCTGTGTTCACATATAAAGATGGGAAAATGTGACTTGATTGAGGTTAAATAACAAATCAATGCCAGTTAAAATTAGACCGTGTAGTATTACTGATTTTTATTTTTGTAAAGATTTAATGTAAGCCAGGCACTGTGGCTCATGCTTGTAATCCCAGGACTTTGGGAAGCCAAGACGAGAGGATTGCCAGAGTCTAGGGGTTCGAGACCAGCCTGGGCAACTTGATGAAACCTTGTTTCTATAATAAATCAAAAAACATTAGCTGGGCTGGTGGCGCATGCCTGTAGTTCCAGCTACTTGGAAGGCTGAGGCAGAAGGATCACCTGAGCCCAGCAGGTAAAGGCTGTGGTGGCTGTGAGCATGCCACTGCACCCCAGCCTGGGCCACAGAGTGAGACTATGACTCAAAAAAAAAAAAAAAAAGTTTTAGTTTAGAGTCTTGGATTCAGAAGACAAAATAGACAGGAGTTATGTTCTCTTTGTTTTAATGAATGCACTTGCACTCATCTTTTTGGAATGTCTTAATATTTGGAGGATACTTTGTGATCAGAAATATTCATACTTATTGTATAAGCTGTAAGACTTACTGTGAATATAAAAGTTTTCACAGCTGGGCTCGGTGGCTCAGCCTGTAATCCCACGCCTTTGGAAGGCTGAGGTGAGTCGATTGCCTGAGCCCGTGGTTTCGAGACCCGCCTGGGCAACTTGGCGAGACCTCATCTCTACAAAAAATCAAAAATTAGCCAGGCGTGGTAGCACGCGCCTGTAGTTCCAGCTACTTGGAAGGCTGAGGCGGAAGGATCGCCAGAGCCCAGCAGGTCGAGGCTGAGGTGGCCAGGAGCAGCCACTGCACTCCACTCTGGGCGACAGAGTGAGACTCCAACTAAAAAAAAAAAAAGTTTTCACTTTTTAATTCAATGTATCACCCAGTCTAGTGCAAAAACTGCTGTTGGGGGATGAACAATATATTTGTGGAACTAAACTCTTATTCAAAGCTTCATTTTCATCAAAGGTAAAGGTTTGAGATCATGAGTTCATTCACCTCTGGTTGAAAGAAACTTGCTTCAGGTTTTGGTTTTCACCCTGTAAACTCCTTCTTGACTGATGTTTTGTTTCTGATTTATTCAACTTTGAAATCAGCACAGGTTGACTATCCCTTGTCCAAAATACTTGGGACTATCCCTTGTCCAAAAGTACTTTTCAGTTTTTTGGATTTTTGGAATGTTCACATGTACAAAATTGAGGTATCATGGGGATGGGACCCAAGTCTAAACACAAAATTCATTTTTGTTCCATATACACCTTATACACATAGGCTGAAGATGATTTTATACAATATTTTTGACACTTTTGTGCATGAAATAAAGTTTTGACTGTATTTTGACTGCAACCTGTTACATGGGGTCAGATGCATAATTTTTTACTTGTGATGTAATGCCACTGCTTAAGAAGTTTTATATTTTAGAGCATTTTGAATTTCAGATTTCCAGGTTAGGAAGACTCAACCTGTAATTAGGCAGCACATAGTACTAAGGGTACAATTAGGTCAAACTCCAGATGTGACCAAAGTTCGGCCTTGTTTATGTTTATGAAGTGATAGCTAAGGTAATTTCTGGGTAGAAGGAAAGTTATTTATAAGCTGGCATTTCACATTTCATTTACTTAGCAGTACAGAATAAGACATCTGTAGTCTATATTTAGGGGCTTTTATCTTCTTATCAACTCTAGAGCTTTGTTCCTGGTCTTTAGCTGTGACTCTGGAAGGCAAATGAATAGTCAAGGAAGTGACTCTTTTCCCTGCCCACCCCCAACCTGTGAAAGACTCAATATCCATGTAGTCAGTCTGTAAACTCACCTCTCAGATATGCCTTGTGAGACTCCTTCACTGCTGATTTGTTGATGGGTCAGCTAGAGGTGAGTATAGAGAATAGGTAGAAGAAAAAGTTAAAAGACAAAGTGGAGAAAAATACAAGATTCAAAGACTACTCCCCCAGCTCAAAAGTCAAGTCATAGTGAGTCCTTCAGATGCTTAGATGACACAGTACTGGGATTTTGTTATGAGTGATCCCAAATTTGTGTATTGTCAGGGGATGATTTTTTTTTTTAAATCAATATTTTTTATTATGGTTTTGTGGGGTACAGTTAAGGGTTAGGTGTACAATTGCGTTTCATTCAGGCAGCCTGTTGATAAGAGGCGTTTCCCCATCCCCAGACAGATATTTGCTACTGTTAATCCCATATCCCCCCAACCATAGTTTCCCAGTACTGTCAGTCATTTTC